TCAATCATTATTTTTAGTATTTCTTCTTCTTACTTGTTTTCCAGTAGTCAAAGTCTTTATTATTTTGTTTGTTTTGGATATCGATCATGACTTTGTTCTTGATTTAGAGAAAATTATTTCAGAATTTATTTGTATCAAATTTCAAACACATTTTTAAATAGCCGTTTATTGATTTATTCAGTCGACGAATGTGATTTTCTTGTATTCATTTCTCCTTTGTTTTATTTTGATTGACATGATGTTTACGACAATACCATTAAAATCATAGAACATTTAATTACTATCTCTACTACTAATTCAAGCAACTTTGTTTTTTTTTTTTTCTATAACTCTGTCTCATAATCTCAGTCTATTCTGACATATCTTTGATTAGAATCTAAAATGTTTCGATTTTGACTATGTATTTATTATTTTCATTCGTTCAACTTCAATTAAAAGAATTGACATTCATGCAATGACTGACAGAAAATATGTAAGACCCTTCAAGTGTCTACATTTAATAGTTATTACTGAAGATAATTTGACATGTCACATCTAATTTTAAATGACTATTAGACATGAAGTATCGTGAATATTATTTCGTATATATAATGTATGGCAGGAAAAATGATTCGTTCAACCTATTGTGTTTTTTTTTTATTGGAGAAAAGATTTTTCTAAGACAAAAAACAATGTTTATACCAATTTTGTTAAGTAAAAATATATCAAATTTAAATACACAATTATTATATTAAGTAAGCTTCAGTTATTTTTTGTAGTCATTCTTGTTTTCTTTTTTCATCTAAAAGGTACATTCTTTATTGTGAGAGATCGTTTGCAAAATGTCAATATATTTTGCTATACCAATCATATGTTGACAAGTATATTCTTTAAAAACATTTAGACAGTTGCAAAAACTTATTTTTTCATACTAATTGAAGATTAGTAAATTAATCAAATGATATCCATTTTTCTGTAACACTCTCTGCCGTACCAGCAGGTATTTAATAATCAGTTACACTTTTTTTTTTTTATTAGATGATGGTATAGTTCTGAGTATGTGAGAAGGAAGACGTCGTCACCGACCCAAAAATCTGTATGTGTAGAGTATTATCAATTTTCAGTGAGTCGTTTATATCAACCGTTATCATTAATTTCGTTTCCTGCTAATAGAACAAAGCAAAATGGACAATATATTAGAATGGAATTACTGCCTACATCTTTTGTTTGCATATGATTATACACTACTCTTCTGTTATTATTGCAATTATTACCTTCATAAATATACTGAACATGTTTCGTCTAGTCTTGTTTTTATTATATGCAATTAAGAAGTAATCAAATCAAACTGGATTTATAAATGGTTAATATATATTAAACAAGACAGCAGATACGACTTGGAAAAAATATTTATACGGTCTGTTTTGTAAATCATATTGTAATGTAACACCCGAGTAAAACATGTTGCATGTACATGAAAAACTTTAGTAGTTTAGACAAGAAAGTAATGTGATATAAAAACATCTTGAAGCAAGACTTGGACTTATGTATTTATTACTTAATATTCTTACTTTCATACATATGAATTTTATTCAAGCGTGTGTATTTGCTTAAGTATTCGGAAAGTTTGTTTTTTTTTCCTAATGTTTTAACCATTCCCTTGATGTAAATGTCAGTAGCTGTCAAATATTTAATGTCGATAGTGCATAAACAAGCATTAATTTAAAAAAATGAATATTATGATTGATTTTTGAGAACAATTGTCATGAATTATTGATCGAGAAAGAAATAGGTCTCTTATCCGCTATAAAAATAATAGTGTATCATATTATAATTGGTTTCGTATCGTAATCCAAACTCATAGGTACAATCCATTTCACGCAGCATGAGAGCATTTTCTGATGTTATTCTTTTCTGTAGAAAGAAGCAGTTAAATCTGCTACCTGAAACCAAACTCTAAAAGTCTAGTAGGTTTTCTGGAAGAAGGAACAAGGATACTGTGAACACGTCTCATAATCATCGAGGATCCTTGAGTATCATTATAGTATCTGTCATTAATGAAGTTGAGATACTCTAGAATTGATAAATTAAAGTTAAATCATTTCTCGGAGTCGAATTAAATGTGAATTAATTTTTTGACCAACTACATTTTTTCATTGTAATACTGAATTCCATAATAAAAACTAGACCAAAATGAGAAATAATTGATTCAGTACATTAGAAAATGCATAAAAGCTGTCAGAGAAATGTAAATGCATCGCGGTGGTTAAAACTAGGATTTATTTCTTGTGGCTTGTAACATGATTTTATACTGAGCAGAAAATATGTGATTACTTTATTCAAATTGATCGTTTTAAGTATGTCACACATTCCTATGATTTTCATGAAGTCGACATGTCAAACACATGCAAAAAAAAATGTTTAACTCGAGTAATGAAGAACATATCGATGGGCTCTTCATTAAAAAATCTATCGTGAAAATATATGAAATGAATAATTCAACTTTTTGAAACGAATGAAAACTGTTATTCAATTATTTGAAATTATTTTTGAGAGAAAAATAATAATATTAATTTTAATATAGTTTCAAAATAAGTATCTTGTAATGCATAATCTGTTTTTTTTGTTACTATATCGAAAATAAGACATCATATTTCTTTTATATTAAAATTGGTATAGACTAGCAAAATCGTTTTTAATCTTAATAAATTTAGTTTTTTATAAGTCTATGAAATCGAAATCGCTAGCAGAAAAATTCGTGCTGCGATTATTCTTTATATGCAAAATTTTAAAGGTGCTGAGAGGTTTGTTTTACGTTGTTCTCAAAATCTATTTTTGAACAAAAAAAAAAAAATATCAACGAAGTTCTTCCCTCTTTTTTTTCACACGGTATGCCTGACCGAGCTTAAAATTTTTTTTTTGTGAATACTCCGGTATAATTGGGGTATGTGCTTTTTTTTTCTTCAAAATATTCTTCCTGTGAACTTCGGCAGTCTTTGAAAAAATTAGTCCCATTGAAAAAAAAACACGTTTTTTGCCGGTGCATTCAATATTTTGCTTTGAGTTCTAGAAACGACATTTTTGAAAGAAAAAAAAACACCTACCCTAATTTTATCCTAGTCGTCATTAAACAAATTGTAGTTTGAAAAAAGTGACGTATAAAGTTTTGGGAAGGGGAGGAGGTCGGAACTTCTGACCATTTGTAACCTTTGCAACTCCCATATCTTCCTGAAGGAAACATCATGGGAATTTTTAGTCTATAATAACTTTTGCTCGACTTATCGAGATTTATCTTTCTCCAAAGTGTCATCATCTTTTGTCAAACCGCTTTCGATAAATTTCGGCGAGGTAGGGGAGTCCCTTTAAACCTGTTAATATTTACTATAGAAACAAAATCAAAACATTTATTATCCAATGTCATCGTACGACACTGCTCTATTTATTATCTAATAATAGTTATTCGAATAGTATATTGTACATAATAGAAATTATACAAGGACAAACATCAGCATGAATATACTGCGTATTATATTACTTATAAATAGGCTATTCCGCAGAATAAATGAGGATATAGAACATGTGAATAATGATAAGAATAATTGCACTAATCGTAACTATTTCCTTTTTTCTTCTTCTGTTCTATCAGATACTATAACAGCAGGAATCACGGAAAACATGCGCCAACTTATCGAGTTATCGGCAACAACATTGATTCCTTAAGACAGCTTTAATCAATGTAATCTTGGCACTGACATATGTACCCATGTTGTTATGAAAGATTGTCCATAAATCTTATGTAGATATTAATTAACATTAAATATTTTAATAGATAAATGTATAAGACTTTTTTTTTGAATAAAATATCTTTATTGAATTGTTGTTTTTTTTTTCCTCGTATGTTTTGAATCATTGAAGATAGTTTATGGTAAATATCATTTAGTAGTAGCTAAAACGTTTTCTTAATACATTGATAATTGATCTCGACTGTCAACAAGTAAATTACAGAGACATTTACTGTATTTATATATACATTATTCTATTAGATAATCATTGAATTATTTCTCTATCGAAATATTCATTGATTATTTTAATGATACCAAGTGGTATATCTCATACATATTTATCAAGGACATAGCATTGTGATTGGATGAAGAATGCACGCATGTGTATGTTGTGTCTTCCACTTATATTTACAATCTACCATTTCTATTCATCTTTTCTTGATTGTGACAAGTGAATGAAGCATATGATGTATAGAACTATCATAACTTTTTTCTTTGTTCTGGATTCATTTATTCAATGATGACGTATGTTATAATTTGTGTAAAATCATTTCGAACAGATAGACTTGCAATAAAATATTCTTCGTTTTTTTGCTTGTTAGCATTGAAGAGAAAAAGAAAAATAGTTACGTACTTGTGTGTATGAGAACAAGTGACATTTTTTTTCAAAAAATCAAATAAAAAGATCATTGATATATATATGTGCGTCATTTTTCTATGTAACAGAGCATATAAACAAAATATAAATCATGAGAGATATTCGTCTTCCATGTCTTATTTGACTAATTTAATGAGAAAATCCATTGATATTCTGAAATCAATATGTTGTAGACTTTGTTTCATTTTACTTGATCCATACTATCTTATCATCTAAGTAATTCATGTTGATATTTGCAATTCTTTTGTCATATTGCAATCATTATGTCTAATTTTGTTTTTTTCTTATATGGTAAAAAAAAAGAAGTCGATTGTTATCCATTGATATACAATTGTCATTCTTTTTTTTTTCTTGACGAGCTTTAACTTTGTTTTGTTTGATTGTTATTATTCTAAAACCTATTCAGAAAGTAATCAGTTGCTTGCATACAATAGATATATATATATACGGCAACTGTTTCTTACAATTCACTTGAATATAGAGGCGTGGTTTTTCTATGTAGTATCATTGACCTTCATCTTTGTCTAATATATAATTTAGATAAATCTCATATGATTAAGTTTTGATAAGTTCAATTTTCGATAAGAATAAGTTCGTCCTGTTATCTTCTATCGATCTATTCTTTTTTCAGTTTTTTTTAAATATATATATATATATGTGTGTGTGAAAAAAAGAAGAGAATAATTACATGTCGTTTCATGTCGTTGGATGTGCCTCGAGTCTCATGCGAACAAAATAAACTAGACTAACATTAGTTTTCTTTCTCTCAATCTTTATATGACAATAATAAAACGAGTCCGAGAGATCGAATTAGTTTCTTTTCTTTTTTTGTGTTCTTTGTATATTATATATATATGTATATGATGTGTCAAGGATAGAGTTGTGCGCAAATCGATCAATCGATTTGAAGAAATTATTCGTTATCATTGAAAAACAAAACTAATAATAACAATAATAATATAAAAGAAAGAATTCAATTATTTCTTTGTTTATTTTAGATAAACATTAATCTGACAAAAACCTGATGAGAAAACAAAAAAGTCGATGGTGACCAAGATTATTGTCAATGTTATTTTTATTTTCTCGTGTTTCAACATGGCTATTCATAGAAATGATAGCCTCATTAAGTTTAGTCGTATTAAATTTAGCTATACCAATTCTAATGATATTTACTTCATTTCGTAATATTGTAAATTTTTATTTATCAAGTACAGCTTTATCAAGTTCATTAATTAATTGTTTATATCTATTTTATCTTATTCAAACATTTCGTTCAAAAATTCTTTCAGAAATGAATTGTCGAGCAATATATTATTTGCAAACTTCGTGTATTGTTATACTCGGTATGATTTTTATTAAACAAAAAAATAAAATACTATTGAGAAGAAGTTTTAAGTTCTATTAATGTTGTTCTATTATTGAGTTTATATGTTCTATAGGAGAAAGAACAATTTGATAACTGGTTTGTTAAGATAGTGTTAAAAGAAGGCAATGCTAGTTATTTTAATCTTAAATTACCTTGACTATTTGACACGGCGACAGACAAAAAAACTGTCTGTTATAATCTATAATCCATGAATATAATTTTTCCTTGATGCACACTGGTTAACAATTATGTTTGATAGATATATCTGAGAATATAATCTTCAACATATATAATTTATAAAATCATTAAAGATAATGAATGAAAGTTAATAAAAAAAAACAATAATTTCTTCTATTCGTTTTAATTAAAGACAATCATAGAACAATGTTCACAAGTCTTATATACTTCCGACTTTGATACAGATAAATAAAATATAGTATCTAATAAACTATAAGAATATTATAAAATAATATGAGTCAATAGAAATTTTATTCTGTACACAATTTAATAATTATATATATAAACAATGATTGAAAGTGTGTGGTAAAAACAAAATATTATTTGATCATTATGACATCTAGTACTGTCCTTTATACTTAAAAATAAAGAATAAAATTAATACATCTTCGATTTTTTTTTTTAGACATATGACATGATTATTTTTTTAATCAATACTACTAGCTCTGAGCTATAGGTGTCAAAAGAACGTCTATTATCCTTTGAGTAGTAACGAGTAAAAAAAAAAAAATCTTTTCTATTTTTTTAATAATGAATTGAAATAGATTGTATTTAATTGAAAAAAACAAAATCAATTAAAGATTTTTGTTAATTTTTCATTTATTATTTTAGCTTATACGATAGTTGCAATTCATGCAAATTTTATTCTATGTTTATTTCCATCATCATCCGATCAAAATGATTCAAATCGGACATGTTTTAAATCATGTGGTCGTTGTTTACGACGATTTTTTCGTCGATTTACTTTGTGTTGTGTTCTATGTGTATGGTCATTTTCATTTACAACTACAATACCATTACTTTATTCAATTGATTCAAATGAAAAATCACCTAAACCTGTTTATTGTCCTGGTACAACACAAATAAGTTATCTTGAAGAATTATTTAATCGTAATCGTTTTATACAAACTATTTTATTTAATTTAATACCTTTATTAATGAATATATTTTTATCATTAATTGCTTTATTAAAATTATTATATGATTGTCTTGTTTATTTATATTCACGTTTAAAAATGTCAAATTGTTCATCATGTCTTAAAAAACCTTCTTCATATCAACAACAACAGCAAGCAATGTCTAAATCAATGCCATTGTTATCGTCACTTGATGCTATGGATTGTAATAATATACAATGTGATATTAATTCAGTACAAATTATAGAAACAACAGCACCAACTAATGAATTAATTGTATCATCATCAAATTTAACAATACAATCCTGTGGATATTGGTTATCAAAATCATTTCTTCGATTTTTACTTGTATTATCATCATGTTTACTAGCATGTATTTATCCAATTGTTATGCGGTTTTATCTTATCTATTTTTCTGTTCTTGTCCCATTGATATTCGCTGTACTGAATTATTCTTTGGGACAATTAACATCAACACAGCAACAAACAATTGCTGAAAACCATACCACATCTATAACAATTCCATCAGCAACATCTCATACTGATACACAAAATTCTGTGAATATGAATATTACTGAAGCACTGCAAACAACAACATATATAAAACGACAAATAGATAATTCTTCAAATGAACAATTTGAATTACAATCACCATTAATAGCAAATTTATTAAATGAACGAGATGAATCATTTATAACATTATCAAATTCATCACCAACATCAACAACATTGTCTACTGATCATCGATCAATAATAGGAGAGAAACAAAAATATTTTTCCAATCGTTTATATGAAAATACTAGAAATATGTTTCTAAGAGAAAATAATTAAATGTTTGATTTCTTTTCTTTTTCTTTTATATTTGCTGAAATTTGACATAGAATAGAAAACTAAATATACACATAATAATAAAAAAAAAAAAAAAAAAAAGAAAAACCTTCAACAATCATCTATTTCACAAAGTTCTTCTTGTGTTGTTTTGAGTCGTTGTTGTTTAAGAAAATTTTTTAATGGCATTTTTTTTCTTTCTGTATGTCGTATATTTTCCATTAAAGTAAAATGTCCCAATCGATTGTAACTATTATGAAATACTTTTGTTTTTGAATCTTGTTGATTATCATTTTCAATATTATTCTCTTCATCTGCTTCATAAATTTCTGTTAATGTAACAGGTTGAGTTCGAAAACGAAGACTCTGACGAGAACGTGATGTTTGATTATTAAGTTTTGTTGGTGGATATTTAACTGTTACTGATGGTATTCTGTCAAAATATGTTTTCGGATATCGTTCATCAATAAAATGTTCTGGATTTAATGAAGTCGTAGGATAATAATGATGAATGTCAGTTGATGATAGTTCATTTTTTAAAAAATTCGTTGATGTTACAGTCGCCATTATAGTCGTACAAACAAAATAACTATAGAAATAACAAAAAAAAAGAAAAATTTATCTTTATATAATGGCATAAAAGATTTCGAGGACAAAGATACTTACATGTATATATGAATTGAATATGCACAAGATGATGAAAAGACAATGATAAACGAAAGGCTATTGTGTAGTAGATCAAATGAATTTTTGATGATAATATCTTTTATCGTATTTTGTTTTCTTTTTGTTCTTTATACTTGTCGTCGAATGTATGTTTGTCACTCGCTTTATATATATATGCTTGTCAGACTTGCGAATAGACTAGAACATAGGCGGAGATATGTATTAAGAAATCAATCAGCTAGTAGTTGTCGTTTCTTTTTTTTTTTTTATCATACAAACGATTGTTGAGTCGATAGGTTTTTGTCGTATCACAAAAAAAAAGGATAGAAAAGAAAAAAGAGAGAGAAAGAGAGAAAAAAAGGAAACGACGTGTAAACTTAGACGTTTTTCACGTACATACCGATATTAATCATCATGATTAATTTTCTTACCGCTTCAACTTTCCTTATACTACAATAGATATTTTAAAATTATTTGCTTAGGATGTTATACCTCCTTATTTTTTTTTCTTATTTCAAAATGTTAACATCTTATATGGGTGTAACCAAATAGAGAAATAATCAAACTAAATAACATAGAACATAAGTTGTAATCTATGTGCCCTTATTTTTATTATTCGGATATACTTACGAAGAAATATTATATGATCAACAAATGCTTTGATGTTTCTATAACGTCAGAGATTGACAAACATTCGATGTCGATTAATTTCTTTTTCAACATATATCTACAGTAAATATTCTTTCTTCCAATAAGAAAATCATGAGTATAGAGAAAGAGCATATGATTTCGATTGATTAACGTTTAATATCAAACAGTCTGTACTAGGTATCTAGGTGATTATCTTAAACAAGCAAAATAAATCTTTTGTTTATATTATTATCCTTTGATAGCTACGCAAAAGATGACTCAAACTCTTGCTATTATTATACCCTGAATTATATGTTAATATACGAAAGATAGACTCTTTGCTCTGTGTGGTGTAGCTCAACATTGAGTATCATTAAATGACATTCATAATCATGTCTTCCTTCTCTATTTTGTTTTTTATATTTGAAAATAAATTAAGATAAATTTTCATGTGTACTTCATGACCGACGTATATATAAGTAGCTTGCCACTATGTGTCCAATTATCTCTAGAAGTTTCTATTTTCCATGTTGATTTAGAATTTCTACACAAGAATAAATAGACTCAATTATTGCTTCTTGTTTTTTTTTTTTGCTACAAGATAATCTACTTTCTGTAATATCGAAATCTTTACCCTGGTGAATAGTCCTATTTTATTGATACTATAAATAGAATGAAATAACTTATAGATATTCAATAAAAATTTGCTAAAATCTTTCGTCTATAATCAATTTGAACAATATGATTAACACATATACAAAAACATCTAATCTTATTTAAATCTAACAGATTTACACAAATAGTATATACTTTTCTAAATCTCCATATTACGAAATTTCACAAACTATGACAAACAATGATTTATTGATATGTTACATCAGTCAATAGTCTGTTTTACATCACTGACATCTGTATAGAAAGCATAAAGAAAAAAGAAATACCTTATAAATAAATCATTTTTTTTTTTGATGACTCATTAACATGTTGCTGTGGAGAAATGGTGACGCAATGTAATTATATACGTCATGTCAATCTATATATAAACTATCGTAATTCGATTTCAACTAAACAATAATTTATATTCATAATGACAGATATAACATCTGAAAAAGTACTTTTTGATATTAATAATGATCAATTACTCAATAATGAAAAATTTCTTGCAAATCAAATAAAACAATTTGAATCCATAAGTGATCAACGACTTGATTCAACATATCCATTTGTTGTTCGTATTGATGGAGTTTCATTTCGAAATTATACACGTGGTTTTAATAAACCATTTGATCAACGTATGACACATGCATTTATTCGTACATCAGCTGATTTATTACAACGTTTTAATCCATTAACAATATTTTATCAATCTGATGAAATTTCATTAGTTTTCGATGGTTATTCAACAATTGATAGAATAGAAAAAAATCCTCGTGAACATATGTATTCTGGTCGTATACAAAAACTTGTTTCAGTACTTGCATCATATACAGCAGCAAAATTTAATAAATATATTAATGAAGAAGATTGGTCTGATATAGAAAATGAACATGTACGTGAACGTCTTACAGAACATTCAGCTTATTTTGATGGTCGTGCTTTTTCTGTACCAAATCAATTTGCTGCAATGGCATCAATTTATTGGCGTCATCGATATGATACATTAAAAAATGCTACATTAACATATGCATTAAGTTATTATTCTCAAAATACAATTTTAGGTAAAAATACATATGAATTACGAGAATTACTTCGTACAGAAAAAAATTGGGATATGTTAAATGAAGCACCAAAAAATATTATCTATGGAACTTTTTTAAAAAAAGAATTATATGATTTAGAAAGTATTGATCGTAAAACACAACAATCTGTAATTGTTAAACGTAGTCGAATACGTATTGGATCATTTGATATGAATCAATTATTAACAACAAATGAAGAGAAAATAAAATTTATTATGAGTAAATATTGGAATGATTGTAATACAATTGTGGATAATATTGAAATACCTAATTGGTGGATGAAATATTATCAAAAGCAAGATATATTAACAACTGATTCAATAAATTTCGAATAAATATAATATAAATTTGAACAAAAGAATCATCATACAAATACAAAAGCAGATTTTTTATCTAGGAAATTTTAGTTTATTATTTTTCAATAAAAGAAAATTTTAAAACGAATAAAAGAAAAAAAAAAAGATCAAGTTTTACAGTCAATTTTATATATTAAAACCTAGAAAAAAAAATCTATTAGCATATTTACAAGTATATCAATTATATGTTAGAAAAGTATGACAGACAATTAGAGTTCATCGAATCCAAAATTTTAAAACTTTACTGACTTTAATCATTTGAGAAAATGGTGTAGAATATTCTAAAACCGGAAACCAGCATCACGTATCTTCAGGGTGATTATCCTATTTCAATTAAACAATTTAATTGAGAGAATCAAATTACGGTTCAACAGAGTATGAAAATTTTGCACTCGATAAGCTCTATTCGTCCGAGAAATTGTGTAGAATGCACTAGTCATCGAACAATAAAACACCGAAAAAAATTATCTTGTAGATGGTATCTAATTCCAATTGAAAGATTTTATTGAGAGGATCAAAGTACGTTTCGCGTAGATGCGAAAATTTTGGACTCGACATGCTCTAATAAGAGTTATCCTTTTTGTTTGAGTTTTATATCTTATCAAGAATAAGAGTAATGCATATGCTTTTATTCTTATCAATGCTATCTATGCACTCATATTCATGCTTAATCATCTTACGTGTAACATTTCAATTTGTTCAAGATGACGAATATCTTTATTTAATGATAAGTTTATAACAATAAACAGATTACGTAATGACTGGTTTTTTTAAAATGTATTATTAGTTTCTGTGGATACTAGAGTGTGTCACTAATGCAAGAATTTTGTCATCACCAATAAAGAATATCCTAGAAGTCCTGAAATGACTATAAAATTCATTGTTCTTGTATTTAGTAAAAACAATCTATTTGTAACTTTGAGAAATTATTGTAACTATAGTTAGTACTAAATAAATGCAAAGTTTCAGATCTATAGTTTTTATAATGGATGAGAAACTATACCAAAACTATGATATACTTTTTTATCAATTTTTCAGATTATAAGATAGTAACCATCATAAGTGTATTTTACTAATGGTAGATATGTGAAATTTCTGGGAACTATAGTAAAAGAAAAAGCAACTAAAGCATTAGATGATTAATGTAATATAAACTTTCATAATGATAAAAATCATAAAACAAAAATTAAAAAGGAATGAAAATGTTTTGTACCTTTTTAAATCAGTAAATGATAAATAAAATACCAATATTATTAAAATTACTAATCAAATGCACAAAAATCAACAAATTGATATATGTTTCTTCTTTTATTATAGTAAACTTCGCATTTATTTGGTACTAACGAGGGAAGGCCCCCAACTGTCCAATCGCTTTTGAGTTCGGACTCTGTGCATATGGTAGACCCCAGTAAGGTATGAAAAACCCCAAAAGGATAACGGCCCTTAGGCCTTCTGTCCAGAGTTATAGGGATTTTACTGGAATTTTAGCCAATGGCATGGTATTTACCAACAAATCGAATGACAATATTTCGGGTTGAGATTTTGCCCCATAGACAGGTCTAGTTATGAGTAGAATGCTCTGAAAATTTCAGCTCAAAAGAATGTTTCCTTCTCAAGATATTAAAGCTCAAAAAAAAACAGAAAATTCTAGCATCTTTCGTGAGATATGAGTGATTTTTAGGACTTTAATATCTCGAGAAGGAAACATTCTTTTGAGCTGAACTTTTCAGAGCATTCTACTCATAACTAGACCTGTCTATGGGNCTCAGCCATTTCTTGACGGATCCTTCTCATCTTCGAACTCGACCTAGATATTGATGAGACAATTCTGTGCACAAAATTTCAGCTCAATCGAATGTAATTGTGAAGAGTTATCGAATAAACGGACGGATGGCCGGACACACTGACCGATTTTAGTAGTGTACTCACTTTTTGAGTACACAAAAACGAACTTTAATACTAAGAGAAAAAGCTGTTAGCGCAATCCCTTGCGGGATTAAAAATGTGAAACACGATGGCTCTATTATTACTAATTAAATGGAAATCCTTTTCTTTCATTACGTTGCGATACATTTGCAGCTAACCGTTAATCTGATGCTTTACAACTACAGTTTCTCTGTCACGGTCTGTGATGGGTACCTGGCTTCTCTGTCACGGTTTATGATGGGGGAATTACCTGTCTGTAACGGAGAAATTACCTGTCTGTAACAGTCTGTGATGGGAGAATTACCTGTCTGTAATAGTCTGTGACGGGGAAATTACCTGTCTGTGATGGGGGAATTGCCTGTCTGTAACGGTCTGTGATGGGGGAATTACCTGTCTGTAACGGTCTGTGGGGGGAGGGGGGGTCCAAATTTCTACCCCTAAACACTTCAACACTCCTTTCAGATCGTGTTTTACAAAATTGCGTAAAAAGCTACAAATAGTAAAATACGAATAATGCTAAAATCGAGTGGGACTTTTCTTTGATGTTTTTACATAGTTCGATAGATCTTGAGAAGCTCTACAAAAGTGTTTATAACAGAAGATTTTTAAACTCTATTTTGGTATAAAAAAGTCACATGTTTTATCTGTTGTATATGAAAAATCCACAATTTTTTTTATACGAAAAAGGTAAAAAATACGAGTTTATTGTCATTTTTTTATGCCAAAACAGGATTTAAAAAAATGTTTATATAACCAGTTTTGTTGAGCTCGTCAAGATCTATCGAACCATGTAAAAACATTTTAAAAATGCTACTCATTTTTTGCAAACTCGGATCTTACTAAAACTCATAATAGTTATATCGTTTTGTAGTTTTTTACACAACTTTTTCACTTAGTATTGAAGTTTGTTTTTTTTGTTTCTGTACTTCATATTCAAGAATCCTCCATTTCAAACATGTGTATACATATAGTACTCGAGCTGTACTATCTGAAGAAAAAAAGAAAATTGAATCTATGTCGTATAGTTTTGAAATGCGAGCGAAAACAAAAAAGTAGTACAATAGTTTTGAGGCGAATAGTATTTGATGCTTAAGTTTTTGCTTAATTAAACAAATAAATGTTCAGTTGAAGATTTATGTTTCTGAACTTATCGCTTCTTAACTAGAGAAATTTTTTCAAATGACTGTGAGAAAATTTGAATTTTGAGTGGAAGTATTTTCGTATTTGCTATTGATATTAAAATTTTATTTATATATAATGTCAAAGTGAAAAATAAATCGTATGAGTCCAAAAGTCAAATAAAACATTACAAATGACTCATACTGAAAGAAATGAAAATGTACACACTATGTAATAAACTAGTGAACGTTCTAAACTGTCTACTAGTTTTTTGACTTAAAACTATTGTTATTCGATTGATCATGATAAGTGGTAAATATAGAATCTTAAAGTAAAAATTTTGTCTATTTCGAAATTTAGTCATCTAGATTATCAGCAATCCTTATACTTATTATTCAAGAAGAAAAAGTCGGACATAGAAGAAAAGACTTGTTTTTGAAATCTAAAATTTAAAATAATTTACTTTTCATGTAATGAAGCATAATTAAAAGAATCCATTTGATCAGACCAACTTTTCATTGCAAATGTTTGACTGTCTGTTGTATCATGACGAGGCCGAGATGTTGTTGTGGTTGTTGTTGTTGTTGTTGCTGCTGTTGTTGTTGTAGTAGTAGGATTTGATTGTCCCCATAATGATGATGAATCAATTTGTGATGATGATGATGTTAAATTATCTTGACCAGTTGATGTTAATAATGGACGTGTTTGATAACCAGGTATTTGTTTTTGATCATCAAATGATTTTTGAACATTTGTTGTTGTTGTACGATGTGATAAATTATCACGAAGATTACGTTCTTGTTCATCACGTCGTTGTTTAGCAACAGTTAATGTATTAATTAATTCAGAATTTTTATCATCTTGCATTTGTTTAACATGTTCATCATCATGTAATAAACGTGAACGTGTTGTTTGTTGTTGAGAATAATTTGTATGTAATGTACGATTATTATTCGTATTATTATTTTGTAATACTTGAGGATATGTTTGTTTTGATTGTTGTTGAGAATGATTAAATCGACGAGATTTATTATTTTTATCCGTTATATCATTATCTTCATCATCACTAAATCGAATTTTTTCTTCATAATTTACTTCCTGAGATGCACTTGCCCATGTAACATTATCGGTTAATTTTGATAAATCATCAATATCTTTATTTCGTAATATTGTTGGAGTTTTATAATCTGTTGATGTATTATGACGTTGTTGAGATTGATTTTGAACATTATTACCATACGGTGACATACGTTGTTGTTGTTGATGATGATGATGTAATTGATGCATGGACATTTGTGCAGGTGCTTGATTTGTTCCATATGGACCATAAGAATTACCCATATTATATGACCACTAAACATAAATAATATCGAAATACATAAGCAAATTAGATTATAAAATCAATATAATTAACGATGATGAAAAATTGAAATCTTCTGCCTAGATATGAGTAAGATAGTCTCGATGGGAACAATTTCTTTCTAACCTGGACTAGAAGATATTCTTATCCCTTTTTTTTTATTATTATTATATAAAATAATAAGGTAATAGAAAAAAAAAGTTTAACAAAAAAATGCAATTTTTTCTAGAATTTTAAGTAATTAGTTTTTTAGTTGGTATAGATAAGATCTTGGTAATTTGAAACTTGTTTCGATGTTTTCTTTTGAAAATGTATTTATAAATTAATGAAATACACTAAAAATATTAAATGTCAACATTATTTTGTTTTATTCATCATATGATGATTAGAAATGAAAATCACCATTGAATAGTATTCGTATCTCCGAATTGAAATTCTAATAATCAAAATTTCTGAATCAAGTTTTTTATTCTCAATTATATTAGGAGTAAAATTAAAACTTAATACTTTTTTTAAAACTTTAATTTAACTTTCATAAATAAACATTGTTTTCAATATTCAAAAGAGGATATATGAATCTATTCTTTAAGTTTATAACTTTCTCAAGTCAACTACTATATTTATTATACTATCGAAAAAACAATTTTTACCATTTGCTGTGGTTGTTGTTGTTGCTGTTGTTGATACATTCGCATGTATGATGAATTATTAGGATTTTGTATTTGTGATTGAAGTAAACTATTATTTGTATTAGTTGGTAACATTTGTGATTGCATTGATAATGTTGATAAATTATTATTATTGGTATTATTATTATTATTATTATCGTTTGATTCTTTAGTTAAATCATTTGACATTGGTTGAGCACGACCACCACCTTCTTTCCATGATGCTAAATTAGCTGGTCTCAAACTTGGTCCTTGTGTTGTTGTTGATATTGAATTAATTAATGAATCAGATTGTGATTTTGTATTTTTATTATCTTGTGTAACTAAACGTGGAAAATCATTTAAACCAAGTAAATTTGGTGGTTGATCATTTGTATTTCCTGTTGTATTACCAGCTGTTACTGTACTCCACGTTGTTCCTCCACGAGGTTTATCAATATCAGATGAAAGTGTAGATGATGATGATGGTAATGGTGGTGGTGTTGAAACAATAGCAGGTATGGAATCAAGTTGTTGTTGTGTTGGCTGTTTTGATGGTGTTAATGGGCGTGTTTGATTATTAGCGAGATTTGTTGGTGTTTGATTTCCACTAGCTGTCCATCCATGACTAGTACCTGTTGGTATTGTTGGATCAAATGTTGCTGGAGTTGTACCTGTTTCACTTTTTAAACTTGGTAAATTAGCTGGGGGTGGTATTCGTCGACTGTTGATTTTTCCGAGATTAGCCCATCCTTGAGTACGAGCTTTAGAAACAAAAACAAAAAAAAAACGAATATTTTTTTCCTTATTTTGAAAATTTAACATACCAGCCGCTCGACTCGTTTCGTTCGTCCGTGCTTTGTTTACAAAATCGTTTGCTTTAACACCAGCATAACGTTTATTTTTATCAATAGATTTACTCGGAACAGACATGGTGATAAACTAACGAATGATGGCGATGTAGCGATCATGCGAAAAAAAAAATGACGCTTTGTGACTAATCGTACACTGAGACGACTAAGTAAAATATGAATAATTAACAAACGAAATAAAAATAAAACACGAGAAGAATATTGTGTTTACGATAACTGTGAATTCGTCTGTCGAATGACAATAAAGGACAGAGAGAAATCTAAAAAATCTTTAAAGAAAAAGAAAAATTTTTGGATTACGTAATTTGTACAATAAAAACTTTTATGAAACAAGAAGAAAGAAATTTCATAATTACTAAAATTAATATTCAAGATTATTCCATATTTTTCTTTTTTCTTTTTTTCTACTCCGATAAAAACATGGCAAGATGAATGAATAAATGAAGGTCTACAAACAGGAAACAATGGCGGTACATAATGCACAGATGTGCAAAAGTGACATCTATAGAAGATAAGAAAAAATATATATACTAATTGGAATTTTTTTATTTATTATTATTAAATTAAGAAAATCAATTATTATATAATAAGTAAAATTTAATTTGAAAGTAATTAAAAAATTGGTTGCTAAGCAATATGATCTCGAGTAATAAAAGACCGATAATTCGAGATTTCCGTAAAATCAGTGACATATATCATCGTTTATTTCATCATTAAACTAAAACTTGAGACTAAGAAACTTCACTACTTTCACAATTATAAAAATATAAATAATTTCGAAACCAAAAGATTGAGAAATCATGAAAATGAATATTTGCAAAGTGCAGCAATTATGCAGTTTATGTTTCAATGTGAGTGTTTGATAGCTAAGTTTAAAAGAAAGCGCTTATGGAACAATCATATTACTTGTACTGTCAAAATAGGACGCATCTGATTCAAAATTTTTTATACGAACCTATTTTTGCCTTGCCGATCCTTGAACGACACGATTCGTTTACAGTTAAGATATTGCATCGCATATGGAGCTGTGTTACTGTGTCCAAGATAAATAGGTACTACTATCCGTTGAATCATCAGATAATACAGCCACTTTGCGCATCATACACGGCAAAGTTACATATAGGCATATCAATCAACATGGATATTTATGGTGGGAGACAAAAGTTCAGAGCAGTTTTTATTTTTAAATCTTCTTCTCAATGGTAATAGCTAGTAAGAATCTGAAAAAATATTTGTGTAGCTGAAAGGACTCTTGTAGAATTGATAGACATGATGACACCAGCAAAACTATCGGGATGAGGCTGCATAGAAAACTAACACCCTTCCAAAATCAGTTTTTTAATTTCCGTTCGAAGATTTTTTGGGAAAAATTTTGCTTGATAGAGCAAAATGTAGTGTCTTTGATGTTTTCATGGCTTTTCTTCATCGAAAGACATTCAATTTACATAAAAGATCCAAAGAGGATTTTTCTCTTTTTATTGAAAATTTCAATGTTTTGCTATATTGAACACTTTGACGGCTTTTGTAAGTTGAATTCAACTTGATCAAGAAAAATCATAGAGAGGTCTGACGAGGGAACCACCCGAGGTGTCAAAAAGCTTTTGAGCTGAAATTTTGCCCACAAGTAGGGGATGCATAGACTAGAAAAAGCCTAAAAGGATATGGGCCCAAGTTGGGATTTGACTGAGATATCGACTATTTACCATAATTTTCCTATATGATCCTACTTGTCCGATAAAATCA